AGTAGATTGGTGTCTCTTCTCTGTTACTTTGTGATTCAGACCAATGATTGTGTTTTGGATAATTATCTAGATGAGGGTAGCTCTGAAAGAACGCCTTTGGATGAGGAGGAATTTGTGTTTGTGTTTTTAGCAAACTGCCCTCACAGGCTGCACAGACAGACTAAACTTCCTCCGTCAGATATCGTCTATAAAAGCAAAACACAAAGGACATCTGGTTTACTGGCTCAATGGTTTAGGTTTGGGCTTTTCAGGTGAGATCTTGTGGCATTCAGAGCATGTGAATATTTGCTTTAGTTGAACAATTAAAGGGCTGGACACCCATGACATGAAGACCCTATTTATTAGATTTGGTCTTTTGGGGATTTGTAAGCAGTTGCAAAATCCTAGAATATTACTAGTCTCTGCCTGCCCGAAATGAAAATAAATCAGAATTACAAATTGTAAATTGTTGTAAACAGGTGTCCAAACTTTTTTCACTGAGGGCCACATACAGAAAAATATACAAAGGGCTGGGCCAGTCACTATAGTGAGGTATATCGCTTCACCTTTAGTGTATTGAAGTTTGCAAAATCAATCAAATGTAGATAAAGAATGCTTGATTATTGAATATGAAATAAACAGCATACATCACTCACATCTTTCTATTAATGGGTTTTAATTTATTAATTTATTTTGTTACAAAAAGGGTGGCAGTTCATTCAGCAGTCTGCTTGCTTCTTAGTCAGGATGGTGATCCCCCTTCACAGCCCTGTATAAAGGGGGAAAATAAGGGGAAAAGGGGAATGAATATATTTCAAGCTTGTTATGCAAATAAGTTATTGGGCTTGTTAACACATCAACTGACTTTTGTTAGAAAAATGTTATCAACATAAATTGACTGAATTCATGAAGTAATTGGGCTTATTAACACGTTTATACTGTGTAATATATTTTTACCTCACCTATAATGGGAACAGCATTGCAATCAGTGGGAGCAGCTATGCTGCTTTTTGGACTGAAGGATGGCTGGCAGGTCAGGAGTAAGTTTTGTGGTTGAGATGCTGTCACGTACACAGCATGCGCACACAAGCTCCTCTTTTGCTACTCCGGAGCGCATGCACAACAAGGGGAGGAGCACAGCTAATGAGTTGTCGACACAGTGGCACACTGCCTTCACGTGAGTGCGGAGTGTCAGTACTGCAGCTACAATGACCCAAAGAAAGCGCAGCATTTGGACAAAAAAACAGGAAAAGCAAAGTGTAACATCTGTCAAAATAATATTTCCTTCAAGTCTGGTAGGTTTTTAAAAAGAAATAAATATAAAAATGAGCCAGTCTTTTTAATGGCTCTTTGAAAGGATTGGCTCCTCAAGATCCAGCTCCTTTCAAAGAGCTGCAGCACAGCGCCGTGAGTTAGCCAACTCACTTCTGAATGGTAGAGTAGGTCCCCATATTCAGCATCGACATCAGATAGGAAAGCTTGAAATTGTCTGTGGTAGACCCCTCGTGCACGAATTATGTTGACAGTTTTCACAACAGTGTTCATTACATCGCCAAGCTGGACTGTCTTGGCACAGAGGGCTTCTTGGTGGATGATACAATGCATTTTAACAGCCTCACCTCCACTCTTGCACCTTGGTGCACACCATCAAGGCCATTCTTTTACACTCGCCTGTCATTGCTGGAGCCCCATCCGTTGTAACTCCACACAGCTTGTTCCATGTTAGTCCCATCTTGTCAATTGCATCTGACACAGCTTTAAAAATGTCTATACCCATTGTTGTGTCCTTCAGACTCCTAAGATCAAGCAGCTCCTCCGTAATGCAAAAGGTCCACGCAATAAAATTACCAGCTTTGCCGTGTCTGTAGCATCTGTGCTCTCTCCTATAGGGGTTTGGTAATGGTCACTGTTTCATCCCACATCGTAGCTAGCTATTGTGGCATTTTCCTGTGTATTGTTATCACAGAAAAAATACTGTTGTTGAGCTAGCAGGCTAGCTGCCATTTGTTTAACTTTCTGTTCTTGCGCGGCGCCAGTATAGGACGTGTAGGTCTGATGTTTGGTTTCATGGTGTCTTCGTACATTGTGCTCTTTCATCACTGCAACAGTTTCATTGCAAATCAAACAGACACATTTCCCCTTAGCTTCTGTGAAGAAATATTAATTTTCCCACCGTGTCTGAAATTTTCTACACTCACTTGCTATCTTGCGTTTCTTTGGTTCAGTCATTTTGGTCACTTGTGGCAAAACTTCAACTTCTTTGATTAATCCTGTTTTGTAGAGAAGCTGCCGTGTTAAAGACAGTAGCTCCACCTAGCCTTAAAACTATGAAGTACAATACAGTCAAGTGCAAGTTCAATGTGTGGGCCATAATCAGGCCATATTCATTAACTATTTTTAGAATGAGCTGCGGGGCCACAGTTGGCCCGGGCCGTAGTTTGGACACCCCATTTAACAGTTAAATGATAAAAGAAAAAGCTGTGATGAATCTGAACGTGTCAGAACAACCACCAGGGAGACTGAACATTTAGTTATTTTGTTTAAACGCAGTGTAACATCACAAGTCCCATTGTCTTCCAACTTCACTAAACAAATACTGGCAGACTTATTAATACGATATATTCACTAAAATATGTATCTTTAGTATATTTAGCCAAAAAATACACTTTATACTTTTTATTAATTTCCTGCCAAGTATTCAGTTCATATAATATGGACATATGGCCTCTGGCATGTTAAAACTGTAGAAATATTCTATATGTAATATATATAATATGTCCTATAGGGGTTTGGTAATGGTCTCTGTTTCATCCCACTTGAGTTGCAGGCCTGATCAGTCCACTAGACCATAATCAGCAAATTACAAGTTGAATTTAAATCATGATGTTATACAAAATGCATCTTTATAGCATCCAGCGACACACCCCACAGTTCTCAACCATTAGTGTAGTGTCAGGGCCCCACAGGAGCTCAGGGCTTTTAGCTGTTCTTTTAAATCCAAGGAGATGCACAAAAAATTGCTTTACACACCAGTTTTAACATCAGATGCCAACAAGAATCCATGTGATTATGTGCAAGAGGAAATAAATAATAACTGAATCTGGAGTTCCTATTTAAAAGTAAACTGTAAATGTATTTTATATTAACCATCAACATCTTATATCCAAAAATATTGATATCAGTATGGACCTCATATGGGTCAAATCCTTGGGCTGAAGGTGTCCAAGCCTGATGCTCACTGGGCAGGCTCTGGCCAAGCTGGGTGTGTTATTACAGCACGGCCGGGACAACGGAGCTTGAATCAGCAAAATACCAAAGTGGATGAATGAATGTGTTTTCATCTGCGGTCATGCTTCAGTTGGAGAAGAGCTGAGGTATCAAGACTGTCTCATCTCATGTGATGGAAGACTGCGTGGCACAGCAGAAATCTGCCGTAACAGATACCCGGGAGCAAAGAGAGACAAGAGACAATGGGTGTCCACCCAGTCTGTCATCCAATGATGTGGGGTAGTCTTACAGCAGGGAAGTCATATTTCCTTATTGTCTTATAACGTAAAATATCTGAATAATACCGGAAAGCATAAAGCAACGTTCAAATCATCAATCATGATTCAACACATGGTTATATTCTTATATATATATACTTTATTTTATACAGCTAGATGAATGTATACATAGTATACAATACAAAAGACAATAAAAAATAACATTATCTGTACATGATGTGAAAAAACTGTACAATACCATCTTTTAGATGGTATAATTGGTCCCTCTGAACAAAAACAGGCTGGAAATGAAGAGTGAAATAAGTTTTCTGTTGAAGGACTTGTTGGCATTGTGTCCATCAGTTTAAAGTTTTCACCTTCAAATACAAAAAGTTATCTTTTATTCTGTGATGATTGTCGCATTCCAGGTGTTATTGTTATGATGAAATTGGAAGTTTTAATCTCAGAGGTGGTGAAATTCTTTCTGTCAGTTTCATTGTCATCGTTGTAAAATGGTGACTCCAGACAGACACTACAAATCTTAGGGTGTAACAACAAAACTGGACTTTTACCAAATATTTTTTAGACTGCTGGTCCAAATTGTATTCAACTACACATATTTCCAGCTGTGCTGCAGTTTATCCAAAGATAACAATCCCTTCAAAATGACAAAATGGAATGCCAGGATGGGAAGTAGACCAATGGGTGTTGTGTTTTAGGGTGGATTTTCCCCTTTAATCTTCACCAATGGTGTGTTCCATAGACACTGATAAGCCTTTTCTGGCTTGTGTATATAGTAGGCTTTACTCCCAAGCAAGGAGAATAAGCGTAAAACCAGAGCAAATAATCGAACCATATACATTTTGATGCCTGGCACAGTATAGTGATACATGAAACATGATGCATTATGTCTTCTTGTTAAGGGCTAGAGGTGATGAAGCAGCCATGCAGCAGAAGAACAAAAGACTGTGTGCAATGCTATCATAAAAGCATAGCAAACATCAGCTTTGTAGAATACTAAAGTTATACTCCAACTGAAATATAATAGGAATTATAAAAAACATCTTTTGAGCACAAAACACTCACCCCTTGTGTTCATTTGGCTTTGAGGAACACAACAGCATGACATGAAAGCATTTAGCAATATCACTGTATTTGTTTATTCGGTTTAACAGTTGAGCAACGGAACTACCGATTTGAAGGGTTTCTCACACAACGCCCTAATGTAGTCTTCATTGCACTTGCCAACATCTTTTAGGGTATATTAGGATGCATTATTAATTGCTGTCAGACATTTGCTTTGCTGATTCCCCTGTTCAGAAGAAGCTACCAACGCCATATTTTTTACATTTTCTTTCATTTATTTTGGGATGGCGTTTTGCATAGCTACTTTCAGCATGTGGGAATGTTATGTTATATGTTTTTGTCCTTTTATATTTTGTACTACTATGTAGTAATGTTTGCTGCTTTTTACCTTATGCAGCTGTTATAACGCTGCATATGTCCTGCCATTGT